GCTTTTTTTTTTTTTTTTTGATCTCTTCTTTTTTTTTAATTTAATTTATTTTTTAAATTTACATCCAAGTTAGTTAGCATACAGTGCAACAATGATTTCAGGAGTAGATTCCTTCATGCCCCTTACCCATTTAGCCCACCCCTCCTCCCACAACCCCTCCAGTAACCCTCTGTTTGTTTTCCATATTTAAGAGTCTCTTACGTTTTTTTTCTCCCTCACTGTTTTTATATTGTTTTTGCTTCCCTTCCCTTATATTCATCTGTCTTGTATCTTAAAGTCCTCATATGAGTGAAGTCAAATTTATGCTTTAAAAAAAAATGCTATTGTGTCTCACATATATATGTTTCTGCATTGTCAATAAATACAAAAGGACTGTAATAGTAGAAAAATAGAGGCCAGAGCAGTGAAGATAGTAGCTTCTATTCTCATCTGCCTGCCTTTCCCTGGAACACTGGATTCAGTTTTGGACCCCAGTCTTTGATCTAGGTGATCAGTGGTAAGGGGCAAGGAAGGAGGAGTTAATGGAAAGAGGAATGTTTGGCCCAGAGACAAGACACAAGAGGAACCTTCAGCTGCTTTGATTATCAGAAAGGCTGGCAAGGAGGGGCGCCTGGGTGGCTCAGTTGGACTTCGGCTTAGGTCATGATCTCGCGGTCTGCGAGTTCGAGCCCCGTGTCGGGCTTTGTGCTGACAGCTCAGGGCCTGGAGCCTGCTTCAGATTCTGTGTCTCCCTCTCTCTCTGACCCTCCCCCGCTCGTGCTCTCGCTCTCTCTCTCTCTCTCTCTCTCTCTCTGTCAAAAATAAACATTAAAAAAAAATTAAAAGAAGGGCTGGCAAGGAGAAGACTCCAGAAAGCAGAACTAAGATGAGAGTCTTGAATTTACAGGGAGGCTAGTTTCAACCCCACTATAAGGAAACACTTTCTAATAATTAGAGCACTCCAAATAATTAGGAGGATCCAAAACAGGACCGAGGTGTCTCGGGAGACAGAGAGCACTGGGAAGCCTTCCCACAAAGCAGAATAACCTGTCTGCGAGGATGTTATGGAGCAAATTCAGATCCGGGTGGAGGTGAGCAGGGTATGATACCGGCTACATAGGTCCTTTTAACTGAAGATTGCTTGGCTGTCTTGTTTACTCCGAGAGAAACTTTATTTATGCTTTTGTGGGGGTCGAATCACCCGAGCAGAGAAAACCCAAGCTCACCTGCGATAATGGCGCTGGTCGTGAAGAAAACATGGTTAATGGGCACCACCATCGCTGTGTTGTAGAGCTTCGTGGCATGATTCAGGAACCTAGAGCAGAAGGCACTTACTGAAGCTCTGGCTTTAAGAGACGTTCAGCAACAAGTTAACAGTAACCTCAAGAAATGCATGTCCTTAAGCTACAACTACAAAGGGAAAGGAAGTGCAGTAAAAGGGCATTTCCAATCAGCAGTCATAGCTTATATGCATCTGATGTATGAGATCAGATGTCAGGTTTTATGGTCTGTTTAAACCAACAACAGTAACAATGAAAAGCAATTAATCATATTCTGAGGCCACAGAAGTTTGAGTTGGAAGTGAGTCAAGCTGCTGGACCAGTATCACACTGGAGCTGATTCATTAGGATAGACCCTAGAATCTGTTAAATATCATATCTGGGGAATAGTGTAGCTATCCATTGACATGCCACATGCCAAGAAGGAAGATGGAGAAGTAAAGGAATGTTTAATGTTTCAAAAACAATGCTCCGTGCTCCAGCTGCACAGCACATGTGGGGAGCTCAGTTTCGCACTCTGGCCACCAGCGCGACTCAGGTTCCCACAGTGAAGCCGTGCTGCCCTGTCATTGACGTCAACTGAGCAATTTTAAAAAGCACTGACGTTTAGGTCCTGTCTTAGCACAATTAAAAAGAAATGCTTTGTGGGTAGATCCCAGGTGTGCCTGAGCACACGTGTGTGTACATGCATGCATGTATATGTGTGTGTGTATATGTACCTATCTATGAACAAACAAGACCACTCCTCAGGCGGTTTTGATGGGTGGCCAGTTCTACAGTTCTAGTGCATTCACGGGGCACCAGTGTGGAAGAGGCAGGGACTGGGACAAGGGTGGTGGGAATGCAGGGTGCCTTGGGTTGGACCTGCCTCTTAAATTCATAAAGCTGAGTTTAAAGATAATGATGCTAATCACCAAATTCCAAAAAGATGTTATAGCCGTGCTGATGAATTCGGAAGAAGAAAGGGAGATGAAACAAAGTGGCAAGTCTCAAGCATTAGAAACACACTCATTCTCATAAGGAAATGACAAATGAAACAGTGACAAAACACTGGGTTTTTCCAGTCACTCTCCACCTTCTTTGCAACAGGCCCATGTCCGACCCAGAACTATTAGGCTTTGCTGCTAGCATCTATGGAGGGAACTCTTCCCTAAACTCTTCCCAAGTTTAGGCCCTGATTTCCCAGCTGGCTCCGGGATGGAGCTTTTGCACAGCATTTTGGGATAAACAGAAAACTTCCTGGCTGGCTAAAGACAGCCTCGCAGGCAAAGGCATAATCATGATGTGAAACGGAGGGGAAGTGACTGGAGCAGAAGGAGGTGGCGGAGGGTGGGGGGGAGAGAACAGAAATTTAAAATGTTCCATGTCACCACTCTTAGGCCCCAAGAGAAACATAAAACAATCATTCCGCGATCCCATGGGTACAAAGAAAATTCTGGCCAAGGATGCAAAGTTCTGGGGAAAGGATTTCCCTCCCGGCCAAACGTCTGGTTTTGTCCATCCCTGGGCAATTAATGAGCATGAGCTAAGAATGAAGGTGAAGGGTTCATGTATTTCCTATATTTAGAATGAAATCCTGGATGTGGACCTTCCCCTTTGATTTATTGCTAATGACAACCTGCGTACGATGGATATTAATTACAAGCAGAAGAGCATCAGGAAAGTATCAAAGTGCACTTAGCTAGATTGCGGCCATACTTTAGAACTCACAAGACATGAAGGCAAAGCTTAGTAAAAACTTATTATTGGACGCGAAGGAGAAAGCAAGGCGTGCTGGCTGAGGACAAGCTGAAGGCCCTTCACCCTCAGAAATCAGTTACACCTCATTTTAATTATCCACGGACGCCAATAAAGATTAATGCTCAGAGAAGCACGGGAATGTTGAAAGATTAGTGAATAGGTAGAAGCTAACTTACTTGACTTGGAAAACACAAGACGCTATCATGATGATAAACATGATATAGAAGATGGGATAAGTTAGTTGCATTTTATCCGTCACAGAAAAAGTGATCATGCCTGAGACTGCTTTTACTGAAATGACAGTCAACGAGGCTGAAAAAGAAAACAGGAGACACAAATAAAATACATTTTTGAGACAGAATTAGCAACAAATATCTGAAGCTTACACAGTAGAGTGGTCAATACTCCAGTCACGCTTTCAGGACGCAGGCTCGTGAGAGGCGGGGGTAGGACGTGGCTCCGGACAAGGGGTAGCCCGGCCGCTCAAGCCGCGCGGCACTTTGAATTTGCCTAAATCAGCTAAAGATCTGCTACGCGACTGGGTGCTTTTTATCTTGGGAGCAAGATGCTTATTTTCCAGCCCTCACTGCTGAAAGGATGTCGCAGAGGTTATAATTACTAGGAGATGGGAGAGGAGAAAACAATGAAGGTGGGGGAGAGAAGCAAAGTCAGACAGTCCATGTGACGTGAGTGGGAAAATAACTATTAAACGATACTGAAAAATCGAAAGCCAAATAGATGAGAAAACTGGTGAGTGGAAAGCGACTCCCTCTGTGAGTTTACTAAGAATTGTACTGAGTCTATGTCTGAGCCTTTTTGTTCATAAATGTCTAGAAGTCTCATGAAAAAAAAATTTTTTTGAAGACAATAATAGGAAGCAGGACCAGAGCTGAGTATCCATCTCTCAGAGTCAACCATAAATCTAAGGGTCACATAAGCACTTTCTATTTATACTCTTATGCTAAAGAGGAACCTGGCCTTAGGCAAACCAATTTTTCATAGGTTCCCAACAGCAATGAAGAAGTGACTTGATAAGGTTATAATATGAAAGCAATGAGGCATTTTCTAGAAACACCATGTCTCTGTAGGAAGAAAATAGCGTTTTCTTTTGGTTTTAGGTTGCTTAAATTTAATGTCGCATCTAATTCCGTAACTAAGCTGAAACCTACAGAAAGTGAAAAAAATCATTTTTACGTGAAAGCAAATAACTCTAAGTCAAAGGCAATGCGAACAAGAAACATTTTCTTTGTGCTGTTGGTCTACCTGGTCATGATATATCTGAGCTTTATCCCTTTTAGCTTTTGAAAAGGCATTATATAGAGAGAATGTTTAAAATAGCAGCTGATGGCCAACCAGGGAAAGCCTCCCATAACCTCCTTTTCCAAAAACTGAAAATATACTTCAACTTGAAGAGTACCAGGGCACACTTCCAAATCAGGCATTTTCCTTTCCACTAAAAATCGTAACAGAGAACAGGTGACAAATTCTAAAAACAAACCCCCAATCTGAACAAAGAGGCCCTTACAACTGGGTCCCTCTTCATCTTTAAATAGCTTTTGACCTGATCATCTTACATGTTTTCTACAGATTATGACAATAGTCCTATCTCAGCTAATCTAGGAATTTTATCTGCAGTGATGTGCGCCACTTGATGGTTTAAGTTTGTAAGGTTAGCTCTTGAGGGACATTGATTTCCTCTTCAAAATTTTGCTTGAAATTAGAGTACAATGTGGTTATGGCCTTGTGGTCTGAACAGCCAGGTTTCCCAAAGGGATCATTAATGGGGAAAGAGTTGAACACACTATTCCATTAGCCTCAGAACCTCAGGATTGCAAAGGCCCTTCAAGGTCATCTAATGCAACTACCATCTGATGTTAAATTATACTTGACCGCAAAACAAAAACAAAACTAGACTTTTTATTAAATAGCTAAACCAACTATTGGTTTGCTAATATAGTTAATCACTGTATTTCCAAAGCATGTACAATCACCAACCAATTAATCACTCTTTATTATAACTCTGCAAGTTATTTCTAGGCTGGTGACAAGTACTTCTGTTTTATTTTTGGGTGGGAATGTGGTTGGTGAGGACAGGTGAAAATACAAAATTTAATATGCTATCATTCTAATGTATACATAAAAAATATAAAGTGCTTATATATTTTCTCTTTTTATATACAGAAAAAAAAAAAAAAGCTAGGAAAAAATGCCAGAAGAAACAACGTCAAGATCCTATTGGTAGTTATCTCTAGGCACTGGGATTATGAAGAGCCTTTAAACTCATTTTTTAAAACTATAAAAGTTTATATGTTCCTTTAAGAAAATTTGGAAAAATGCAGAAAAGCCTGGAAAGAAAAATGAAAATCACCTGTAATCTCAACACTCATCCCCAAGTCATTTTTAACATTTGGGAATATTTCTTTGTAGCTATTTTCCTGTCTCTGGATATGAATACATTATAACATATGTATATACATATGTTATATATATATAACAAATAGTATATACTATTTAGGAACCTAGTTTCAACTGCCATCAAGTATTTTCTATGCCATTAAATATTCTTCTGAGCATGATTTTCATCAGCTGTGAAGTATGCCTTTGCATGAATTATACTTCATCTTGGTAATTCCCTATTTTTTGCATATTTAGGTTATTTAGGTACATCCTTTTTTTTCCTGGAATTAAAAATGAGGTTGTAATGAATATCCCTGAACATATATCTTTGCAAAGCACTCTGCCAATTGCCCTAGGAAAATGAGCTATGGGGCGGGGGAGCGGGGTGGGGCTCTGGTGACAGATGCTGTTCTTCTGAAATATACTGGCAAGCTGCCTTCTACAGACTATCAGTCACATTCCCATAGTACTGTGAGGCAGTGCTCAGTTACATGGATTTTTACCTTTTTCTTGATGGCCCTCTCTGTTTTTCTTATTTCTCAACAATAGACATGTATTACTTTCGTCATCACAGTGGTACTGCTTTTGCCTGACATAGCTGACCTGTGTTTGAAATCTGGCCTTCTCGGTTTCCTCCGACTTCATCAACTGTTCCTTCCAGAGACTTTCCCAAATTGCTACCAATGTCTCCTTATTAGAGCCACAAATATTTCACTTATTAATTTGGCTTCCATAATCTGAGTATGCTAAGCATAGAGAAGGACTTCCTAGCTTTCTCAGCTTCCTGATCAGTTGAAAGCATCTTTTTAAAAAAAAATTTATTTATTTATTTTGAGAGAGAGAGAGCGGGAGAGGGGCAGAGAGAGAGGGAGAGCCCGAGACTCTCAAGTAAGTTCGGTACCATCAGTGTGGAACCTGATGCGGATCTCGAACCCACAAACCGTGAGACCATGATCTGAGCTGAAACCAAGAGTCGGACGCTTAACCAACTGAGCCACCCAGGTGCCCCTAGTTGGAAGTATTCGGTTGGGAGTTTTAAGACTTAGGAAAGACTGCAGCCACAGGCCTGGGGAGCCCCTCACCAGAAGCCAGTTTCCTTTCTTCCTGGTTGCCCTCACTTTCTATTTTCTTTTTAGTTCATTTTTTTTTATCTATCACTTAAACAATATTAACAATAAAGTAAAAACAAATCCACCTGCATACTACTGTTACCTCTCACTCATCTCCAGCGTCTGCTTCATGCGCCCTTTTAATCACAACGAAGGTAGGTACCATGTTGTGTGCTACATTTTCCATTTAATTTGACACTATAACTATTTTTCAAAGCTGCTACATGGTTTCCATAATCATTTTTTCTTGTAGAAGTCATTAGTGATCATTGTAAAATGCCTAACCAGCACAGGTAAGTATAAAGGGAAGAGTGGGCAATCTTTTTCTCATTTCTTAGTATGATGACAGCACTTGTGCTATTTCTCCAGCATGTAGGCTTCAGCTTTTGGTTTAAGAGAAATATATTTTTCCAATTTCACAGAAACAGAGACTAGAATGGTGGCTGTCAGGGGCAGGGAGTAGGGGGAAGGGAGTGATGTAGGTCAAAGGGTCTAAATGTTTAGTTTAAGAACAGTAAATTCTGAGGATCTAAGACACAGCATGGTGACTACAGTTAATAATGCGGTATTGTATACTTCAGAGTTGCTCAGAGATCTTAAGCATTCTCATTACACACACACACACACACACACACACACACACAGTTCACTATGTTAACTATAGGGGGTGATAAATGTGTTCATTATCATGAGCTCGGTAATCATTCTGTGATGTATATGCGCATCAAATTACCACGTGGCATACTTAAATACATACACTCTATGTGTCAATAATTTCCCAATAAAGTGAAAATTATTAAAAAGAGAGAAATATGTTTTTAACACAGATATCTTTCTATTCTGATTACATTTCAAATTCTTTATTAGGAACGGATATTAAATTTTAACATGTCTTTTCAGCATCTGGATATTTACATGATATTTCCCTTTTTGAGCCATTAACATGATGAACTATATCAATGGATTTCTTTTTTTTTTTAATATATTTTTTAAAAATATAAATTTTAAATTTAAATTTTTTAAATTTTTGAGACAGAGAGAGACGGAGCATGAACAGGGGAGGGTCAGAGAGAGAGGGAGACACAGAATCCAAGGCAGGCTCCAGGCTCTGAGCTGTCAGCACAGAGCCTGATGCAGGGCTTGAACTCACGGATGGTGAGATCATGACCTGAGCTGAAGTTGGACGTTCAACCTGCTGAGCCACCCAGGCGCCCCATATCAATGGATTTCTTAAAGAACCATGCTTTCATTCCCATAATTAATTTAGTTAATTCAAATGTTTTCTCTGTGCTCACTGTCCTCAGTTCTAGGTAATTATATACAGTGTAACTAGAACAGACATGGCTGTGTCCTCATAGAACTGATTAGGTGGAGAAGATGAGCAATATCAGAATGTAAATATGTAAGTAGGATATGTAAGTATAAATTGTAAGCGTTACAGAGAAAAAGAACCAGTTTCATTAAGACCACTTGGTCATGAAGTATGTTGGGGTTTTTTTTTTTTTTCTGGATTCTACTTGCTAATTTTTTGAGACTTTTACATTAATATTGAGTGGGGAAATTAGTACAGGGTATTCTTACTGTGTGCTACTTGGGATCAGTATTGATAATCATTATGTAAACAAAACGGGAAAGCTTTCTTCTTATGTCCTCAAATAGTGTGAACAACAACAACAAAACAGAATCTGTTTCTTAAAGATTTAACCTTCTAGGTTGAAAGTAAAGATGGGGGGTGGGAGGGAGGGGAGGGTGGGTGATGGGTATTGAAGAGGGCATCTTTTGGGATGAGCACTGGGTGTTGTATGGAAACTAATTTGACAATGAATTTCATATAATAAAAAAAAAAGTCAAGTATGTAGGCCTGGTTCTTTTCAGGATGTAGCATTTTAAACAGTTCTTCCATGTCCTCCATATCTATTTTCCTTTAAAAAATAATCAATTTAATCAAATTTTCATCTTTGTTGTCGCTTTTATTTCTAATTTTGTATATTTGAGATTTTTCCTTTTTTTTTTGTCTTATGAAGGATATATTTTAATGTCTTTTAAGAATAGATTCTTGGGTTTATTTATCAATCCATTGTTTTTCTGTGCTTTATTTCATTAATTTTTACCTTTATTAATCACTCCTTTCTGCTTGCTTCAGCTTTATTTCAGTGTTTTTTTCCCTCCCATTTTGAGCTGAGTGCTTGACTTACATTTAATGTAATGAATTTCCTTCTGAATACAGCATTAGTCATAAACTACAGGTTTAATACTAAGTGTTTTCATAATAATTTAAAAATATATGCTGCAATGAAAGCTTGGTTTCTACTTGGGCCCAGCTGCAGTTTAAAAGTAGTGTCAGCATTTCCAGATGTTACAGTTTTACTGGTTTCTGTTATTTTTGTTATTATTTTCTGTTTTTATTTCACTGTGATCTGAGAATGTGGTCCATACTTCAACTTCCTGGAATTTATCAAGGATTTCTTTGTGGGCAATTACACAATTAACTTCTGTAAATGTCACACAGGCACTTGAAGGCAGGTGTATGGTCTGTTTTCAGGATTTAGAGTTCAACGTTAGAGCAACGTTGAGGACTCATTCTTCTGTCCTTATAGATCTTTCTGTCTACCTACCTTCCATGAACTAAGAGAAGTCTTCTACTCCTCTCATATTTCTATTAACATCGTTTTCAAAAGAGCTGCTGCCTGAATCTCCTGAGGGCCCCTGGCCTTGGTGTCTCCCCCTCCCAACCCTCAATTCTGCTACGATGAGCAGCTAAATACTAATATGGGGCCTCCAGGAGCCTTTGCTTCTGCCTGGATTTTAACTTAGATAGTAATAGTATGCCCTTTTGCTTTCTTTTCCTTTCAGTCTGAGTTAACTTGTTTTAGATGACATTTATGTATGAAGTCAGAGTATTTCACAACCAGCAAGGGCCGGTTAGAAAGGTCACCATTTCTACAACTCTTGTGGAGCTAAACCAGAGAACTGTGGATGAATCCAATTTCAGAATCTTTGTTCAAAATCAATCTGGGAATTTTTCTGAAGCCCAATATGGGAATCTTTCTTTATTATTAGGTGAATTTACCCTATTTACATTTATGATCATAACTGCTATGTATGATCTTAATTCTGTTATCTTATTTTCCTATTTAAAATGTCCTTTATTTTCAATATTTTCCTATATAATGTGCATTTTATCTCTTAGTTGTTTGCTTTTGTTCTCCCTATCTGGCAATTTGGAAAGAAGCAACAATAAAGTTCTTCTTCCGTTCTTTTCATCAACAGCATACCTGACTGTGGTATAAATTCATTTCTACAAGTAATTATCACAGGTACAAATCTTTCAATTCAAAGGAGAGAACTAGTTTGTGAAATGAAGATGGACAAATGAAACTCAGCCCCTCCTTAGCATGAAGGTTGCTGCCTGTCCCAGGGGTATAGGTATAATCTACAGAATCATAGCAAACAACACATGACGTATGGTTCATTTTATTGGCAAGGAAGAGGAAAAAAAAATTATAAATAACTTTTTAAAAGGCAATTTTCCAAGTGATTATTGAAAGCTCCTGAGAGAGTGTTGATTTATATGAAGATGTGTGTGTGTGTGTGTGTGTGTGTGTGTGTGTGTGTATGTGTGTGTGTGTAAGAGAAGGGGAAAGGGCAGATTTAAAAATACACAGTGGGCTTACGGAACCATCAGTTTTCAAATCCTGGGCAAAAAAAGGAAATGGGTAGATAAACAATGAATGAAAGAAATGTTGTATTTAAGAAAATCATACTGCTTACATTTACATTTCATATTAGCTATATTTTGGTAAGTAATTCCTGATGAAAAAAGTTTCAATTGGGATCATTCTTTTGTTCCTCTTTTAATATTTTTCAAGTACATCCTAAGAAACAAAATCCTCCAACTGTCAGAGAGCAAATAAAATTACTCAGAAGTAAAAACGCTGACATGTTTTTAAAGGAACTAAACAGATACCACTTGTAGATATGGATGAGCAAAATACAGTTTGCGTGATTGAGCCTGGGTTTCTTTCTGCAGATCAGAGTTGAAAAGTAGAAACAATGAGAAAGGAACAGAATGCTTAAGTGTTCTCCTTCAAACCTCTTTTCTCACTTAGCATGGTTAGATTGGAGAATGAGAGAACAGTACGTTCTTACCTAGAAGTGCCACCAGGCTTAGCAGGATCACCACGTGCTTCATTGCTTTTCTTTTATGGAAATAGAGGAGGGTGCAGAAAATTAATATTTCGAAAATCTAGAAGTGAAAAAGATGCAAAAGAGTAGAGTATCAATTATTTTACACACAGTCTTCTGAATGCCACATTTCTCTTTCTGGTTTTGCAACAGTTCGTTCCCCTGTGAGAATTGAGGGTGCCTGGCGTTCCTGAGGACAATTACAAACATATGCGGACAATATATGGAATCTCAGCCATCCAGACCCAGAGCTCTAACCTCACCTATATGCCAACGATGCCGAGATCGGCAACCCTGATCTCATTTACCCAACTATCTTCTAGACATCTCCACGCGTACATTTAATAGCATAGCACACAAACGCGGGCAGTAAATTCCTGAAGGCCTTCCTTCCCCACCTATCCCTCGTGGGGCCTTCACCCCTGCAATGAATGGCCTCACCACACACCTTTTGCACCAGCCAGCAACTCCTTCCTTTCCATCACTCCCTGCCGCCCTCTCTCTGACCACTGCAACAGCTTCCAATTCGTCTCGGATTCTACTCTTGCCTCTACAACCCAGCCATTCAGCGGCCAGAGGAATCATTTAAAAGCACAATTTGAATAATGAACTAGGTCATTCATAGAGAGTGTATATGATACATATATAAGGTATTTACATAATATGACAAGTAGTCATGTGCCCTGCACCTAGCCAGAGAAAAAGAACCTACCCATACTTTGAGGTCTCCTGTGCACCCCACCCCAATTGCACCCCCCTTCTCCTCGGCTCTCCCCAGCAACCACTACACTGAATTCTGTGTTTACTCTTCATTTTCTTTATGGTTTACCACCTTTCATGTGTCTCCCAACAGCGCCTTGTTTATTTTTGCACATGTCTGGACTTTATACATGCAGAATCATACTTGGTTTTGATTACTTGCTTTTTTCCCCCACTGTGCATTGTTTATGAGATTTATCCAGGATGATATATGTAATAGAATTATATATTATATCCAGTCATTCCTTTGCTTAAATCTCCTATGGTTTTCTATCACATTAAGAATAAAATCCTGGATGGCCCACCTCTGCCAGGCACAGATCCCCCACCCCCTGCCAGTTCTCTGCAATGCTCAGATTGCTCTGGCCTTTGCACTAACTGCACTAACTGTTGGAGTTGCCTGGAATACTCCTTCCCTGATCTCCCTACAATGGCTCCTTCTAGTCACTCTAGTCACCCAAAGGAGTCACTCAGCTTACACATCACTTCCTCCAAGATGTCTTCTCTGACTGCTCTAACAGAGCCACCCCTCATTTACTGTGGAGTGTAGAATATTTCCTGTTCATGCATTTGTATGTTTCTTGTCTGTCTCCCCAACTAGCACATCAGTTCTATGAGAACAGGGGCTTTATCTGTCCTGTTTGCTACTGTCTTTCGTGCCTGGGCACAGTCGGTTACTCAATGAGTATTTATGGAATTAATGAATAAATTACACCTCAAATTTATTATGAACACCTTGCCAAAGACCAAGACTTAATGTCTAATAAACTGAGTGTTCAATAAATATTAATTGACTGAATGTCTAAAATTTTCCTGCCCATAAGAAAACTCTAATGTCACTTGGAGTTCTCAGTTTTATTTTTGTTTTCACTTTTTTCTTTTTTGAAGTCCTTAAGATAGCCTGATGCAAGTTATTTTTTTTCAAAGAGGTAGTATCCCTGGCCTGAAATCGTAAATATGAATGTTTACTTTTCTGACATAAAAACACCACCACTAATTTTTTCCTTAAAAATTACTAGAGTTACGGACTTCAGTACATTCAGGACTATATTTTACTTATGGAGCCATCTCTAAATCAACATGAATCTCTACTGTTTCAGTTCAAGGTTTGCTTTTTTCTTTTTTTAATCCTCTGTGGGCATGGAAAGCAGCAAGACCATATCTTCCTCATTTAAAAACCTTTCATCTCATGTGGAAGATTAAGTCATCCCTCAGCTTTTTCCTGGTAAATTAAACCAATTACTTTGACTTTTTCTTAAAGGACTTTTTGCCAGGTCTTTAATTGAATCAAGCCATGCTACAAAGGCTATTAAACTCCTATCACTTTGTCTTCCCCCAAACTGCCATCACAACATGGGTTGGGTGTCCCCACCTCTGTGCAGCTCATCAGTCGTTAGCAGAAATACCCCTGTCGGCTTCACTCCCCTCTCAACCACAGGCTTCCATTTCTCACACTGACATAAACAACTCACGGCAGCATTTGGGACCACTGTATTTGTTTCTGGAAAGAAGGTGGCTCAGCCTGCATTAATGCACAGAGTGTCTTAGCTAAATCTGTTAGCGGGAGGATTATTAATTGGGGGGAAGGGAGAAATGAGGGTAGTTATCAGTTCTAAATATCAAATATGACTTTCTTCCTTCCTTCCTTCCTTCCTTCCTTCCTTCCTTCCTTCCTTCCTTTCCTTTCCTTTCCTTTCCTTTCCTTTCTTTCTCTTCCAAATTCCATCTCTATGGTTAACACGAGCTCCTATGACTCACAGAATGGCTGTCATTGCCCTGCATTCTGCCTTGTGGCAAGAGGTCACGGAGCTCCCAGGAATAAAATATTCAAGCAGCATGAATTAATGTTCATTTTTTTTCCTAGCAACATTTCTCCCCCTCTCTGAAAATATCACTGTTAAAGCGGCTGTGATTTCTACAGGTTGCTGAGACCCAGGGAGAGGCTGCTTTGCTGATTGCTGTCTCAGAGGTCAGAAATAATAACAGCACTTAACTGCAGGCTCACCACCCGCTCTACTTGTACCAATTCACTCAATCCTCACAACCTGAGGAAGCAGGCACTATTTTACAGATGAAGAAACCAAGGCTCAGAGGGGTTAAATGACGTAGGTCTGGTAGGCAGAATAATGGCCTCCCAAAGATGCCCATGTCCTAATCTCTGTAACTTGTGTGTATGTTACTTTACATGGCAGAGGGGCTTTGGAGATGCAATTAAGGCTATGGACCTTGAGATGGGGAGATTATCCTGGATTATCCAAGAGGGTTCAAAGTACTCATACGAGTCCTAAAAAGCAGAGAACCATCCCAGGCATGGTCAGAGAGAGATGGAACATGAGAAAGAACAGCGTCAAGGAAGGCTGGCGGCCTCTAGAAGGTGGAAAAGGCAAGGAAATGGATTCTCCTCCAGAGGCACAGGCAAGGAATATAACCCTGCCAATACCTTGATTTTAGCCCAGTGAGACCCGTGTTGGACTTCTGACCTTTAAAACTGTAAGATAATAAATCTGTATTGCTTTAAGCCACTAAGTCTGTGGCAATTCGTTATGGAAGTAATTGGAAGCTAACTTAGGTTCTGGTATCTGAAGTCCTTCCAGAAGAACAGAATCTTCAGGATGAGTTTTCTGAATTGACTCTGGGTTTTTCTGGATTGGTTCTCTCATCGAATTAGATTTAAAGGCACTCATCACCCTGTTTTTGGTGGTGAGGAGTACTGGCGGGCCATGGGATGATGTGACAAAAGAGATACAGGCTCCTGGGCCTTGTTTCTGAGGCTTCTACTTCACGCAAGCCTTAAATGTAACACGAACATGGACGTTCCATGGACATCCATCTGGTGCTGGTAAACACCCGAGACAGGGAGATGCTGTTAGCCAGCCTGGGATACAATTTTACAACCCTTTTTTGAGAAATGTACAGCTTATTCAGACTCTAAAATGCTTTCTTATTCATTTTAGTAGTTATTTGATCAGTCCTAAAAAGCAATTCAGGTACTGCATTTCTATTCAGTGTAATACAAGAGTAGCTAGATGAATGATCCTTCAAAGAATAGCCTTAATTGCTGTAATTATGATCTCTGCAGTCATGGTTTGCAGAAAAAGCATGGAAACCTCCATCTCTAAGGATTAAATATTAATTACCTTGATGTTTAAGCCAAACTTAAACATCGATGTCAGATTTAAGCCAAACTTCAGCTCAAGAGCTTAGCATGTAATTGGTAACATCTAGAGTCTTTAGAGAGGTAACATAAAATGGATTAAATTCCAAACTAAGATAATGTAGATATATTCCCTTTAGAGTCTAAAGACAATAGTGTTATTAAAAAAATTTTTTTTTAAGGTTTATTCAGTTTTCAGAGACAGAGACAGAGCGTGAGAGGGGGAGGGGCAGAGAGAGAGAGAGAGAGAGAGAGAGACATAGAATCTGAAGCAGCCTCCAGGCTCTGGGCCGTCAGCACAGAGCCTGACACGAGTTTCGAACTCACAGACCGTGAGAGGCGCTCCTCCATAGTATTATTCAAATGTGACTTTATTAAAGATTTATTTTATGCTATCTTATAATATCTGGAATTAGTTACATTTTTGGATGACATTTACTTTCAAACATACTTTCATTATTTTATGGGAATATGGGTCTCTCCCAGGGCTATAAAATTCCTGTTACAGGACTTCTTCTCTATACCCTGGATGTCCAGTCTGTTGAATGAACTAGTGAATAAATGAATGAATGAATTTAAGAGTTGACTTTGGAAAACGGCAAAATACAAGTAATGTCAGAGTTTCTTTTGTGGAAATAGAAGGTTTAAGAAAGAGTAGTTTCGTTCTTTTAAATGTTTTCTCTGGTGTTAAAATAATATAAGACACGTCATCATCAAACACTGCTGCTTATTCCAGGAAATCAAACCTTGCTGCATATTTAATCTCCCAAGGATTCAACTCGGGCTATTCATTTTCTGGTCACCGATTGGGTGACCCTTTTCTTACTGGATGAAGAATCTGTTTTGCCTGTAGGAAAATAATAATAATACGTTGGTAGGACTTCAAGTCTCAGCTATCATGAAAATGGATTTGATTGATAAAATCTGTGATTGTTAACGGGCTAGGTCTGCCGGACAAGCAGGAAGTTACAATGGGGCAGAGGAGAGACACAAAGAATGACAGACCTGAAGAAGGCTAATCTGAATTAGGCAGTCCAATCCTAAAGTCTGATGTACAGGGGAAGGGGAGCCTTCCAATATAAAAAGGAGGAGAGTTCAGGAGAGAAGACACTGAGTTCAATTTTTGAGATGTTACATTTGAGGAACCCATGACACGTCCAAGACAGGGATGAGCAATCAGTGGACAGATGAGAACACAGAATTGCAGCTCAGAAGACGCCTGGGAGAGAGATGTAGACTGGATTTAGAAGTCTTTCTAAAGGATGATGGGGGTTGTCAATGAGATCACACTAGAAAACCTTGGAAGAATATGTAGCATGAAGAGATCAAGAGTGGTTGGCATGAGAGAAGGATGCGCCCACAAAGAGTATTGGATGGCCTAGTCAGAGAGGAAGAGGAGAAATCGGGAAAATAAATTGAGGAAGCCACGGAAGAGAGGGGTTCAAGGAGAAGATGGTGGGTTATGAGTAAATGCTGCACAAGGTTCAAAAACAGCAGGACCAAAAAAGCAATTCCATTTGGCAATTTGTTGGGGGGGGGGGGCACGGATCTATCAGATGATAAAGAGTGAGGAGTGAATAGGAGTTGGGAAAGTAGAGGGGAGAGTAGAGTGGAAGGGAAATAGGACAGTTGATTGAAGAGTGTGTATGGATGAGGATTTAAAAACAAAAACAAAAACAGAGAAACCTAATTTGTTTAAGTGAAAGAAAGCAGTATAGAGGGAGACTAGAAAGAGAAAACACCTGTGAGCATTTGTGTTCTGGTGGTCGGAATTATATATCAGAGATGGCAAGATATATAGAATTCCTGTCACAAAGATTAAGGACTGCCAGATAATAATGTAATATCACATAGTTCCCACTGTAATATCCTGGGTTACACTTAAAGCAAAGTTCACCAGTAAACATGTCCCTGCAAATGCCAATGGCACAGTTTTGAATAACAGGTATATGAAGTAGGGTCATACTATTTTACCTATTTCAATAGCAGAGGACTAGATCAGATAGTTTTTCAAAATCATTTCTGATGCTAAATATGTATGATTCTCTGTGCTTTGATTCTTCTTGTTGAATTCACAATTATTTTACTAATATAGTTCTCGGTTAAAGGTCACGTAGTCTATCCCAGTTTTCTTCTTACCACCTGCCCCTCCTGGAATACTCTTTTTCTTCAATATAAACTGACTTCTGAAACAAGTTACACATCAACCACCACAAGCACGTTCTCTCTATACTCACGGGGTACAGCCACTACATCAAATAAAGCATCCCAGTTAGTGGCTTCAAATTTCTATATCAGCTCATTCCATTCTTTCTTTTACACATCTCTCAGCATTATCCTTCTGCTGTCTACTTCTCCCCAGACAATCTGGTACATGTTCTCAATGAACACTTTTTTGAAGAAAATATCTATCTTGAATTAAAGCCAATGAATTAAAATGTGTCTTCAGGTATTTCCCTTTGACCTGGGAAGAGAGGTTTTTGGGGTTTGTGTTTTTACTTTGAGTTGTCCTAAAACACATTGCTTTGGAATTTGTTGGATTAAATTATTGTGGAAATTGTTCCAGTGACAGGTCAAGAATAGGATACTTGGGAAACTGGGGGTGCTCTATTGCTGATTTAGTGTTTCAAATACTTTGGTATTAGTCAAATCTATTTATGGTTTAATGAGAGATTAATGTTGAGAGGCAAAGATTATATTCATTCTCTAACATCTGTAGGTACAAGTGGTCTAGATAATATAGTTTATGGGATAGTAAAAATTTTTTTTAAATTCTTACCACATAGATCAGGAACTGCCAGCCAACAAAGTAATACTGTACTGTTCTTGCAGAGATAGACTGAGTTCTATTTGGAGCAAAGTTCACCAATAAATAGGTTCCTGCAAATCCCAGTGTCATACCTTTAAATAAAATTGAAAAGACAAACCAAGTTGAAAAGGGATATTTAAGCCTTTTTGTCAATGCAAACATTACCTATAGACGGAGTATTGCTTGTAAAAATGCCTACAGCCCCTCCCTGTTAAAATACAACTCATCAAACCATCCCTAGATAGCATCCTGCATTCACATGATAGCATTATCTTTAAAAGGGGGATAAGGGCCAGGGAAAGGATGGGGTATGACATGACTTCTGATTTTTCTTGTTGTTTCAGATGAATCCTTGCCTCCTCAGAAAACCTTTCCCCAAAGATGGGAAAGATCAGAACACGTGCATTTGGAGACATGAAAACACATCCAAGCTGGCTGTTTGTTTCCACATGGACCACTAAGAAAATGATAGATCCATCAGAGCCCAGAGAGTGGGGAAGTTCAACACCTGATGATCTACTCACTAATCTTTGCAGCTTGTACACACACACACACACACACACACACACACACACACACACACGTGATTTTACACTTTGAAACTCTGGTAAAAGAGCACCTTAATCATTGCCATTTATTAGAGACCTTTTAACAGAAATGACAAAGGTGAATGCTGACTTTGCTGTAAGATTTATTTAATCCAATTTAGAATCTAGAATTCTAGGAGTAACTTAGTAAAATATCACATTATAAACCTATGTAAGCCATGTGTTACTGTCATGCCTTTCAAATTACTTAAAATAATGGAGGAAACCTCATCAGAGAAATACAAATCAAAACCACACTGAGATACCACCTCATGCCAGTCAGAGTGGCCAAAATGAACAAATCAGGAGACTATAGATGCTGGAGAGGATGTGGAGAAACGGGAACCCTCTTGCACTGTTGGTGGGAATGCAAATTGGTGCGGCCACTCTGGAAAACTGTGGAGGTTCCTCAAAAAATTAAAAATAGACCTACCCTATGACCCAGCAATAGCACTGCTAGGAATTTACCCAAGGGATACAGGAATACTGATGCATAGGGGCACTTGTATCCCAATGTTTATAGCAGCACTTTCAACAATTGCCAAATTATGGAAAGAGCCTAAATGTCCATCAACTGATGAATGGATAAAAAAAATTGTGGTTTACATACACAATGGAGTACTACGTGGCAATGAGAAAGAATGAAATATGGCCCTTTGTAGCAACATGGATGGAACTGGAGAGTGTGATGCTAAGTGAAATAAGCCATACAGAGAAAGACAGATACCATATGTTTTCACTCTTATGTGGATCCTGAGAAGCTTAACAGAAGACCATGGGGTAGGGGAAGGGGAAAAAAAAGTTAGGGAGGAAGCCAAAACATAAGAGACTCTTAAAAACTGAGAATAAACTGAGGGTTGATGGGAGGTGGGAGGGAGGGGAAAGTGGGTGATGGGCATTGAGGAGGGCACCTGTTGGGGATGAGCACTGGGTATCGTATGGAAACCAATTTGACAATAAATTTCATATTAAAAAAATAATGGAGGAAAGAAATGTGTATGGGAAGAGGGGCCACATAAGGAGGAGTAGAGGGAGGCCTTGACCTTGCAAATAACACTGAAGACTGCTTATTTATTAATAATCAGCAAAGAAAAATGATATAGGTAGCATTTTTCAGATAGCACCCTTGAAAACATAATTCAACTTGTTTCATAACTGAGGTCAGTGTTGTTGTGTATATAATTTACAACCAGCACTGACTCCAACCTGAAGCAATTTGGTTTGTCTATAAAATCTCACAAATTCAAAGACACCAATTTCCTGTTCCTCTTAATCAAATGATTTAGGGTTTTGAACTCTAGTTTTTGAGAACAAATAGCATTTGACTTTTCACACAAGCAAGACAATAGCTATTCAAGGTATTTGTAGAAGCTATAAAACAAGCTTCTTCTAATGTAAGAACTTACTCTGTAATACTTTGTGAAGGCAGAAATTACATACAAAATTGTAAAAGCTATTTCTAATGAGAATTTTAAAAATGAAAAAACAATATACATTATTAAGCATTGCAATAAAGAGAAAATAATAAAAATCGTACATAAGAACTTGGGCAAAATTATTGTTCAGCCCTGTCCTTTCTTTGGAAAAGAAAAAAAGATCTTGTAAGAAAATTGTTCAATATTAGGTTCCTAGGAGGATGGAATGAAAACACACACACACAGTTTTCTAAACTTGGTATACTGAAGTAGAATAAATCCATTGAATACAACTTAAAAATCTCAGAGACTTCCAACTTCCTTTTGTGAAGTCCAAATTTCTTATTTTTATTGAATTCCTCTGCCAGTAATTTTTTTTATCTCCTATAACTGTATCTAGTGTCAATTAAATTTCTTTTTTTTAATTTTTTTTATTTTTATTTATTTGTTTATTTTTTAATATATGAAATTTATTGTCAAATTGGTTTCCATACAACACCCAGCGCTCATCCCAAAAGATGCCCTCTTCAATGCCCATCACCTACCCTCGCCTTAAATTTCTTTTTTTAAAGTTAGTTTTGAATGGGTAACGTAAGGTGAAAAAAATCTGAAAGACACACAAGGGTGGTGAGTGAAAAGTTAAATCTTTCTCACACCCTTATGGCACACTAGTTCCCCTCCTGGAAGTTAATACTGCCACCAAATCTTAGATTTCCTTTTCCAGGGATGTTTTATGCAGGTGTGTGAGAGACTGCATAAGTTTTGGTTTTCTACACAAATGATAGCATATTATACACACTTGCTTTTGTTCTACTTAACAGAATATCTTGGAGAACATTTCACATCAGTGTATGTAGGACAGCCTCATTCTTTTCAAGTCTGCATAATATCTCATTTTTGGATGTTGCATTATTTCACTTAACTTTCCAAAAGGGTCCCTGGTTCACATCCTGACATCTCCTTTCTTGCCTCACATCTGCTTCCTCATTTGCATACTGTGCCCATTTTCACCAAGGTAAATCTTCGCTCCATTTCAAAACTCCTTGAACACAAATGAAATGACTGATGATTTTGCAATTGTACTTCCAAAGTACTTTTGTACATACATTATTTCACTTGAGCCCCATATCAGTGGGAATCTAGTAAAGAACTCTATGGCAGCTCAGTAGGTCGCACATTCTTTCTTTTTATAATCTTAATTTCAGCTTCCTGTGACAATTACAAAGGCAGTTCTAGAGAGCTGCTACCTGTTATATGCTTGTCTACTTGGTATCATTTGTATTTGTGTGATTCACTGTCTCCTGTATGGATCATGTGCACATTTTCCATAAGTGTGTAAAAGTGTTGAAGATAGTCATTAACAGCTCCTTAAATAAATTTCCTTAAAATGTATTTATAGCCCATCTTTGTCTAAAAGTGGCATCTAAAAGATGTCATTTCCTGATTTTTTTTTCTCAGTGAAGCCACACATATTCTTTCATTTGAAAGACACAGATTTCTAAGTTAGAAACTTGCTAATTTACCTTCTGCTGGCCCACTTGCCCAAGGGAGTAATCTGGTAGCATAAGATACTCCAGGAAGGGAAGAAGCCCTTGGCATGCCCTTTGCCCATGGAAATGATAAAATTACAGATCAAAACTTGGATCATGAAAGGCTAATCCATGCTGAAACTGCCCCCACAGATTTCAAATTTCGCTGCTACTTGCTGGCTGGAAGAGCTTAGGCATGTTATTTATCCCTCTGTGACCTAGTCTCCTCATCTCTGGGTACAATGAACTTATCACACCTGCTAGACTCCAGAATTTGGCTGAGCAAGAGGCCAAATTCAGCTCTGGAGAGCTGAATAGATTTGAAAGCTCACCCGGAAGCCTGATGTGACAGAGGACCCTGGAACAGATCTACCTCAGGATACAGACCACTGGGAGTCAAAAGCTATCTCAGAAAAGCTTAAAAATTAATCCCAAACTGGCAGCTCTTTCTGCCCCTGGGTCCTGTCCCTGGGCTATAATAAAAGCGCCTTTTTGCACTGAAAGTATCTTAAGAATTCTTTCTTGACTGTTCACTCAGCAGCCCCACAACATTTCTGGTGCCCAACCTAGGGCTGTTCTTCTTTCTAGACTTCGAGCCTTGGTACAAACTTAAGTTACTCCCTCTTTTCTTTTACTTTAACTCCAGGGGCTTTTCAAGAAATATGGTCTTATTGGAACAATCTCATGTTGACTGCTCTGGCTGCAACCTTCGAGCCTGTGACTACTCTCCAGGGAGGATAAAGGCCTGCCTTTTGACTGGAAGCTAGTACCCTGGCCAGAATGGTAACAAGACCCAGAACTTGATGCCCTCTCTTTATCCACCCCTTCTTTTTATTTATTTATTTATTTATTTATTTATTTAATTTTTTTTTCAACATTTATTTATTTTTGGGACAGAGAGAGACAGAGCATGAACGGGGAAGGGGCAGAGAGAGAGGGAGACACAGAATTGGAAACAGGCTCCAGGCTCTGAGCCATCAGCCCAGAGCCTGACGCGGGGCTCGAACTCACGGACCGCGAGATCGTGACCTGGCTGAAGTCGGACGCTCAACCGACTGCGCCACCCAGGCGCCCCAACCCCTTCTTTTTTTTTTTTTAGACAGAGAAAGAGAGAGCGAGTGTGAGCAGGGGAGAGGAGCAGAGGGAGACAGAGAGAATCTTAAGCAGGCTCCACACTCAGCACGGAGCCTGACACAGGATTTGATCCCACAACTCTGGGATCATGAACTGAGCCAAAATCGAGAGCGGATGCTCAAACGACTAAGCCACCCAGGCACTCTTATCCCTGTTCTTATACAAAGCATGGGACAGACACCTGTCACTAGGATTGCTGACAACCTTAAGACTTCCATGCGAGGTTTCCTCCTCATTGGTCCAATGTGATCCCCTCCACATCCCCGGTCTAGCCACTTCTGGCCATGAGACCACTGGGAACCAGCCAAAACCAATGTCAATATCAATTGAATTAAAACCCAACTGGGGAACCTGGGAAGTTGTCTGTAAAGACTACATGTATTGGAATGTCACTTAGACCATGATGGATTTCTATCTTTACTATTCT